TTTAGGTTTATTTATATATATTCTTAAAAGATGCTATATTATTCGGTAATTTTTGTTTCTTCTTTATTTTTTTCCAGATGCAAAATTAATATTTCCACATATCTTTTCTATATAGATATGTTGATAAAACATCGTAGAAAAGGTATTATAAAGAGATAATTAGTAAATACTAACATTTAATTATTAACAAGATATATGTATGATTAATTTATATGTGATTTCGGGGTGGTGATAATAATATAAAAAAAAGAAAATAAGTATTATCAAATTTTAATTATTTACAATTAAAAAACATATCGGATTAAAATAAAAAAAATTAAATGTAACAATAAATAGACTATTTAATATTTGGAAGAGAAAAAAATAAAAGAGATTAATATTACTATTCGGAAAAATCTATACAACAAAAATAAAGTAATAAATTTAATTAAAATAGAGAATAAATTTTACAATTATTGTTTACCATTGATTTTGTATATAAAACATCGACGTCACAAAATATAATAGAATATTAAATATAAATTATAATAATAAATGCCGTGTACTAAAGTAACGTGTGATAAAAAATAAATACGAAAAAAGAAAATCAAACAAAATAAAATAATAATTAAACTGAAAAGCTAAAACAATAAAAATATAAACAACAATAAATATAAAGAGAAATATATAAGACTACATAATAAAATAAACTCTAGGTTAACCTAAAAATAAATCAGCGGATTATCAAGTGGGAAATAAAAGCACTGATAAAAAAAAAAAAATCATAAAATCCATATCAATAAAAAAATAAAAAAAACAACGAAGTATAAAAAATAATAAAAACTAAACAAAAATATGAAATATCAGATTATAAAAAAATAAAATCAAATTAAATTCCAATGAATAAATTATATGACAATTAACAAAAAATAATAATAAATAAATAATTGAATAATCAAAATTAAAATAATAAAAATAAAGCAACAAAACAGAGCATAAATAAAAAGGTGCGAAAGGCAAGTAATCCTAAATAGGATGATTACTTAATGGACCATAATACAATTGAAATATAAATTAATTACAGATTTCAACGACAAGAAACTAAAAAGGAGGAAAGAAGGCCTTATCGTGTCTATCTTTACAGAACACTACGTAGGCAAAGCATGTGTTGAAAATGGTTTGTACACAACACACAACGCTTCGTTAAAAAAAGAGAATTGAAGTAAAAAAAAAAAAAAAAAAAAAAAAAAAAAAAAAAAAAAAAAAAATCATTTAAAGAAAACGAGGTATTAGACAACCTTTCTTCTGAGTGGGCGGAGTCGACAATGACAGCCAGACTTTGATCGGGAGAAAAAAAATGATATAAAAACGTATTTATGTTTGTGTTTGTGAAAATGCATAAATTATGTGTGTATCGTGTGGCAGCAGAGAGGGGGAGGGGGTGGGGGAGGGGGGAGGTGGTTGGAAGAGAAAGAAAAAAAAAATAATAAATAAATAGGGGGAAGACTTAAATAAATACACAGACTTCGACGTGTGAAAGAAAACGGGAGTGGGGGTGAAATTCGAAACTGACTTCGCTCTTAACAATAAAAAAAAAATCCATACATATCCCAAATAGACGAAAGAAATGATAAAAAAAAAGCGGTGATCAACGAATGAATAAAAAAAAGAAAAAAAAAAAAGGAAGACTGGATTCGCCATGGCTGAACCATATCCCTCCCCCCGCCGCCCCCCTCTCCCAAACCCAAGAAAGGTCGCGACTAGAGAATACCTGAGGCCAGGTCATCACACAACGCCATACTATACAAAGACAATAAAATAAAATAAAAGAATAAAAAAAATACATATCAATAAGATGAATAATGACGATAGTATCTAATAATAATCATTAAAGGAACGTTTGAGAAAGAAAAAACACGGACGGTTATTTCAGTGCTTTGAAGAAAACGAAAAAAAAGCGAGACGGAAAAAATAATAAAAATATAATAAAATAAATGATAATTGAAATTACAATTTATCCTAGGATTATATTTTTGAAGATTTTCTAAAAAATATTTTACTCATCCAAGCATCACTTTTACTCTCACGAGCTTGACAAACATGCATCTATTCACCATTCACAATTACTTAAAAATTATATCGATAATTCTTTCCTTTCCTGTCTGCGTGTGTGCAGAATATGGAGATTTTTATATCAAATATAATATTACTCTATAAATTAACTAAACAGTGACAATCATTTTTTTAAGACATCACAATTCTTCAAATTATATTTTTTATCACCTCATGGAATTTTTTATAAGGCACAATATTCCGTACAGAAAAATGGAAAAATAGTAGATCCGACAAGTTGATCGCTTATACTTCTCTACAAACGACGGAAGTGAATACATTCTAGACAGAGCTTCCGACTTGAGGCACAAGGCACTTATTCAGGTAAAGAGGTTGACAAACACTCGAACAAAACGTTACCAAATCGAAATAAAAGGCAATTAGATTCACAAGAACGCAAATAGAATGCAAATAAACGTAGGAATGAAAGATTACAAATATAATATATTCAGGCATCAAAACTGCTTTCTGATACTCGAGGGAAAAGGGGTAAGCATCTGATAAACGAAGCGACACTGGAATCCACGTTACATACTTCAAAATATATATTATAAAACAGCCTATAAGTAGCAATATTAACAAGTATACACAATATATACATAATATGATTTATACAAGAGAGAACAATGTTATTTGCGCATGGTTTTCTCATACAACCTACGAGATCATGGAATTTGTTCGTTTGTTATCTCCAGAACAGCATCCACAAACACTGGACTGAGACCTTCCCCAAGCTAATGCCCGAATCCGCTAAGTCCTCCTCGTCTTGTTGAGAATCCAAAAATATAAGAGCACCGTGGTTCTGACGTTTCCATTAACATATATTTGATTATGACTTAAATAATACTGACACGTTATGTCGTGTTCGAATATGTTTCGTGAAGGAAAATAAGGGGGGTTGCGCGTACAGCTTGAAGGCGGCCGCTCTCGAGTCCAGCTGGGGACGAGAGCGATTCTTTGTTTTCCGATGTTCTTCTCGAACTCGTTGCGATCAACCGGCTCCCGTTGACATCAGCGAGAGCGACGCAACGGGGCAACTTCTCGCCTGCAACACGACAGGTTTCCAGACGGGCTTGTCTCTTAAGGCACTACTTAATCTACTGTACACCTAAAGGCTCGGCAGGAGGGTGTAGGGCGCGGGAAGGATGGAGGGAGCAGGAGGCGCCGGATTGTTGCCGCGCCCTTCTCCTTCTCCTTCTCCCTGCGCTCGACCCTCCATCAGCGTCTTCGACTGATGGTCCTGCTTCTCCTGCGGTTTAGTTACTTCAAGGCCCTCCTTCCCTTGCGAGTCGAGGCGTCCTGGCGCTGGACTGAATCTTAAGGATGCAATTTTTGTTGTACTTTTTTATATATTTTTGGGAGCACCCTTGAGAAGCAGCAAAGGCCCGAGGCAGCCTGCAACTCCCGAAGGAGAGGACGTCGTTCCCCAAGGTCCCCCGCCCCTGACTTTGACTGGATACAGAAAAATGACTGAGATCTACACCATTTGGTATGAGCCAGATCGCGCTGCGTTGGGACGCGCCGGCGCTCCCGCGACGGATCCTGCTCTCGCCGCCCCCTCGGGCCTCGGCGACGTGTCACCCAGCGACCCTGCCGAGGGGGCCTTTGGATTTCCACCCGTCTGCGGCGGCCGTCGGGCGTCGCGGCCACTTCACTTCCTCCTTGAAATGTCTTTGGTTAGGCTACAGCTTCACTTGAAAAGAAAACTTTTTCTTCATTTTGAGGATCTGCACAGGCGTCCCTCCGCGGCCCCGTCGGAGGTCCTTCGCCAGGAACGCTGTCTGATCCTCGGATACCTGAGGCGCAAGGAGGAGGATGTGAGGGCTCGACCCGCGCCGGCCGCGTCTCCTCTGCAGCGCGTCCGTTACGACTTCTACGTCTAAGCCCCGCAGCGGCGCCCGCGAGGCCGCTGCGGCCGACATGCAACGCCCTACTGACGCTTCCGCCATCAGAAGTGGATGTCCGTCAGGTCGGTCGGAGTTTCGTTGCCGTCAAAAAACTCCATGGGCGAGGTGGGCTGCTGCTTGTTCGTGGGCGTGGTGGGGTGCTGCTGCTGCTGCTGCTGCTGTGCCTGCTGTGCTTGCTGCTGCACGTGCATGCTTTCAGGGAGGATCGCCGTCTCCTTCTCGACGACCATCTCGATCTGCTCGACGATGGGCTGGAGGGCGTGGGCGTCCAGGTTGACGGCGTCCGCCAGGCTGGACAGGATGGCCGCCCACTCGGCGACGTTGAGGCCTCGCACGGCGGCGACGATGGACGCCACCGCCACGGCCGAGGGCTCCACCTGCACGAACTCGGGCTCTGCGGGAGGAAAGGCGGAGGTTAGTCTTGAAACAGAGGGCTTGAGGCAGTTCAAAATAAGTCATTCGCAGAAGATAAAGCCGTTCCCAGGGCTCGGATAATGTCCGCCACACAACACACTTCGGCCGATAAGATCCCGGGGCTCCGATAGCCCCCGCCCGCTGAGACCAGAAGCCCTATTACCATATTTATCGGGAGTTTAATCTAAATCAGCGAACACTGGTCGGCCTCTATCGCCTCCTACATCTAAATCTGGGCGGCGGGAATAATCGTAGGCAGTCCTCGGGCCTAGCTTTGCTGACAATCTAAATTTCCACGAGGCAGGATCATCCCCCTTAATCCCGATTGATATTCTCCCGAGGGGCTGCCACGCCAAAGACGCCCCAACGGATCCTTGGCCCAAGACCTAAGGCTTCCTTTCAAGAAACGGAGAACTGGCCATCATTAAGGGAATATGGCCTTTGTGCCGTCTGTAATAGGGGCTATAGCTGTCGGTAAACATTCCTTTTCCTTAAGACAGCCATCGAGCTAATATCGCTAATGCCACTTCAATGCGGGGACTTCCAAAGGTAGATGGAATCTGCAGGTGAAAAGCAGGAGCGCGAACGGAGGTATTGGCCAGCGAAATGAGAGAGAGAGAGAGAGAGAGAGAGAGAGAGAGAGAGAGAGAGAGAGAGAGAGAGAGAGAGAGAGAGAGAGAGAGAGAGAGAGCTTTGGATATTCACGGCAGGAAACAGGGACTGGGGTGGGGGAGGGCTGAATGCTGGAGCCCAAATGGGAACACACTAACGAAAGCGACAAAGGGCCCCGCCGCTGCCGTCCCGGGGAAACAGCGGCGGGACCTGACCCATGTCACTCGCCCACAATACCGGAGCTTCACACTCTCCTTCGGCGATTGTCCGCGTCGCTCGCCGGGATCGACTGACAGCGCCATTATGCTTTGGGTGAAAAAAACACGACTCCGAGGGCCGCCAGGATGCATTACGTCCCCATAACTCGCCTCGTCCCTCCCTTGCTGCAGCATCCGGATCCTTGCACGGGGCACAAAGGCAGGAGCCGAGAACTAAAAGGCCCTGCATGCTCCCGCCCTCCTCCTTCGGCGTGTCCTCGAGCCATAATGGCGCGTCGTCTTTCAAAGGGGCCCGAGAGCCTTTCCTCATTTACATACTCCCATTACGCCGCCATTAGCCTCGAAAGGGGGCCACTGAGCCTCTTGGAGACGCCTCGGCCTCCCGGAGCGTAATGACGACCTCCGGAGGCCAATCACGGAGACGCGCCGATGGCCGCCCGCAAACCTCACGCTTATCTGCAACAATGATACGCCCGCCCGCCGCCCCCGCCCTTTCGGCCTCCCTCTCCTGCCCCGCCGAGTCCTCCGACAAGGCCGCAGCGGGAAGGACTCCGCCAGCCGCGCCCGCCCCCCCTCCCCTCCCGCACCCCCCGCGAGGGCAAGCTCCTCGCCGCGACGACCTGCAAGCCCATTGTGCGCCCCCGAGCCGGCCGCCATTGTCCTCGCCCGCGCCTTTGTTTTGCATTGTTGTTGTGTCGAACGAGGATGTATGGAGGGATCGGAGACACCAGGGCAGCCGCGCCGGGCTCGGGGGAGGCGCCGGCCACGGGGGCTGACCCTTAGGCGGGGACTCCGGCCTTTCAGAGCGGATTTTGAGCCCAATGGCCCCGCGCCAGAGGAGATTTATGGGTTTTTATCGCTCTATTTGGTGAGTCACCTGACTGGGAGAACTTTCTAGGTATCGCAAGGAAGATATCATATGTAAATAAGACACGATGAAAAAAAAATCTACATCTTGTCAATATACACACAAAAATATCGATACGCACACTCGATCTTGGAAAAATCCAGACATACACGAAGATGAAATCTATAAACAGTAACGCTCTCTCTCTCTCCATGACAAATACGAACAGCATCGAGGACACAATACAGGAAAAGGTGAATATGACGAAGTGCAGTAGCGTCCCCTCCCCCCCCTCCTCCACCCCTCAGCCCCCCCTCTCCCCCCTTCTTCACGTCCAGCACTCGCTTCCCGTTTTCTCTCGTCCCGAGGCGAAAGGACCTTACGCCGGGACCTTTAACACGTGGTGCTGAATTCCTCCTCGTCTGGCATGCTATGGCGACTCTTACTCTTATTTTCTCCTATGGGGATTGAAGTGTTGTTCTAAGGTCCGCTTTTTCACATTACTGATTTTTATGGAACGCCAGAAAAGCGCGTTGAACTGGGTTGATTCTACTGTATGTTTATGTATGTTTCCAACGTGGAAACATACATAAAACCAGCAAAACGAAACAAGAGAAGAAGAAAAGAAGAAGAAGAAGAGAGAGAGAAAGAGAGTGAGATAGAGATAGACAGATAGATAGAGGGAGAGATAAAGATAGATAGATAGATAGAGGGGAGGGAGGGGGGAGCTAGATATAGACAGATACAGAGAGAGAGAGAGAGAGAGAGAGAGAGAGAGAGAGAGAGAGAGAGAGAGAGAGAGAGAGAGAGAGAGAGAGAAGAGAGAGAGAGAGAGAGAGAGAGAGAGAGGAAAGCGAGGCCGGCGTCGAGGCATCCCCCCCTCCTCCTCCCTCCCCCCAAGCCGCCGCCGCCGCCGCCAGCCTCCGGATCACTACTTGGCGTGGCGTTGTAGTTTCCGGAAAGAGATCTCTCATCCGGACATTTCCTCTCCCGTGTTTCCGGCGCGCGTCCACTGTTGCATTGGCCTTTAAAGGGTTGAACGTCCGGAATCATTTCGGTTAACCCTTAATTAGCACAACCTGCCCATTGTTAACTACCTCCTATTTTTATCGGCTTCCTCTTTCCTCTCCCCGTTCGTTGAACCGTGGCTGTTAAAACCCGTGTTCGGCCACCGACGAACCGACGACACACACGCCTGCACTAAATGTACCATTGCAGACTGTGTACACTGACTGACAGGGTTAGAGAGAGAGAGAGAGAGAGAGAGAGAGAGAGAGAGAGAGAGAGAGAGAGAGAGGAGAGAGAGAGAGAGAGAGAGAGAGAGAGAGAGAGAGAGAGAGAGAGAGAGAGAGAGGAAGACAGGGAAGTGTGAAGAAGAGAGATGGAAGCGAGAAGTGGAGAGACAAGAGAAGAGGGATGTGAGATGACAGAAGCGAGATGAGAAATGAGAGAAGAGAGAAGAAAAAGGAAGGGAGAAGAGAAGAGAGATAGGAGAGAGTGCAGAACAGACCACGTGGTGCACTGGAAGCTGGCTGCTGCTCCCTGCTCTCCCAGCTCCACTCGCAGACACTCTCTCTCACACACAAACAGCCCGAGGGCGAACGCGACCCAGAGATCATGAAACTTGTGTTATTTGTGGAGTATTTCTTGTTGTTGGGTTATGAGGCGATTGTGTAGGTTGTGAGAGCAGTGGAGGGTGGCTATGAAGGTTCCTCTATCAGCTGCCAGACGGCATTGTGACGCCCCAGGGATAGACGGGCTGGGCTTTTGTATACCGTCTCCTCGCTACCGCGTGGGTATTTAAACGCCCTGCTAAGACACCGCTCTGTTTGCTTTTCGGTCTTGGCAATAGACTCTCCATTGCACCCCACTGAAGAACAAGCCCCGCGCATTCCATATGAATTAAGAAATCAAATAAACACTCAGAGGAACATAAAAAATCACGCAATTTCCTTTAAACTGAGGGTACACCGCGTCCCGTTTTCTACAGCCACGCGGTCCTCTACTACCACCTGGACATTTAAAAATGGCGGCCGTCGGGAGTCCAACTAGTGTTTTTCTCAGGCCGCTTGGATGCCTGTTGCTGGGTATTTCTGTCTCGCTTTCGAATTTAGTGAAACGTGTCATATTCTAGTGATATTCTGCCTGAAATGAGTATTTACGATGATGGAAAAAACAACTATCTGAACTTCCCATTATTTTGTTTTTCAAATCAAATTAATAAATGAGATTTAGTACATTATTTAGTAAGCTACGTACGGTCTATCATAGTTTGTTTTAAAGGATGCTAGGAAGACGAAATACATAATAATAATAATAATAATAATAATAATAATAATAATAATAAATTTTCCAGAGATCTCCTTATTAAAGCATTCACTAACCCCCCCCCCCCAACATCCTCCCTCTAGCGGTACCTTTTTCCACGCCACCTCATGGTACCCTCAGGCTGTGTGTGTGGTTGGTATCCGTAGTTGTGTGGTTGGAAACACGATACCAGTGCGAGTTAACTGTTGTTTGTGATGTCGTGCAAGGTACCGCGGTTGGAATCCCGATGGTATTAATAAAGTTCTGGTAATATGGGCTGGGAAACTAGTGTTTAAAAACTCGTTATAATCTCCTCCCTCCCCCCACTGCTCTCTTTTTCTATCTCCTATCCTCCTCTCCCTCTCCCTCCTCCCTCTCTCTCTTTCTATCTCCTCCCTCCTCTCCCTCCCTCCCTCCCTCCACTGCTCTCCTTTTCTATCTCCTACCCCCTCCTCCTTCCCTCTACCCCCCCCCCCCCGCAAGGAAATCTGCATGGGATCGCCCTCCCGTCCATACGATCTGATCCTGTTAACTGGACTGATCGCACAACGGCACCAGAACCTGATCTCTATATTGCTCGTCTCTTCTAGGCCTCCGCTCTCTCTCTCTCTCTTAACACGTCAGTCACATGTAAATGAGGTGGGGCGAGCTTCTCCATCTATAGGCCTATATTTCCTTTTCGCCTCATTAGCATGTACCGCTACCTGAGTACGGCCTATTAATTCTTCCTCTTTTTTATATATATCACCGACACATGATCGTATTGTAATCAAAGCCTGCCTCCCGACGCCCTCGAAATACGCCCATCCTATTTCACATGCCAATTACTCCATCACGAAACTATGCCAATTTACCCGTAGGCCTATACGCACCTATCGCGATGTAAGCAAGGCTGCGAGGCCTATTCAAAGCGTGGGTATGCCTGCCTGCCTGCCTCTCTCCCCTCCCCTCCTCCTCCCTCTATAGCTTCCTCTCCCCCCCCCTTCTCCCGCTTCC